GAGCCAGGCTCCATTGTTGTTGGAGCCGAGAAGGGGGAGCGCGGCCGCCCTCGTCGCCCGTGGAGCCGCGCCTTGGAGCCCTTCCAGGCGGGTCCCCGGAGAGGCGGTCATGGCCGCGCCAGGGGAGCGGGGAGCCGGGCGGCTGCAGAGGAGCCAGCTGCATGGGGTGCTGTGTGTTTTTCAGGGCGCCCTGCGTCCGGCAGAGGAGGCGAGCATCCCGCTCAGGTGATGAGGAACCCCTCGCGCACCCAGCGCAGAAGGCTGCTGCGGCCGGACGCCTCCATTGTTTGACCACAACAAGGGCCGGATTCTCACCCAGGTAAACTGGCTGCCGGCGCTGTCCGCTTCCCTCTCGACTCCCGCCTCCGCAGGCGTTCTCACCCCTTCCAGGACTCGCCTGCAGCTTTCTCACTGTCCCCGGCTTCTCATGGACTCCGTATACCCCCCTCCCAGACATTTTCCCATCCAGCTCCATCTCTCCGCCACATCACCTCTCATTTCCCCCAGAACTCGGCTCCTTTGTGAAACCTTTCTTGCCGAACTCTAACAACTAAATCTCCCCGGGAGCCTGCTCCGAACTGTTCTGGTCGCTAGATTGCTTATGGGCTGTCTCACTGCAACAAAGGAGACCAGATACTGAAAAAAGATTTCCGAGCTATTGCCTTCTTCAAGGAACGTTTTCTGATATTTACACTTTATTGTTTTCTCAAGATGGAACTGTTTTTAGGCATTTTGTCTTCTTAGGGCCCCTATTTCCTTTATAGATGCATAGTTTTTTAAAGCAGGAAATTGACCTTGTTCAACCCACAGGTTAATTTAAAATTTAAAAATTAATTTTAAATTAGAGTAGTACATTTTCTTTGTAAAAGCAGCGTGTCGCAGAGATGGCATTTTGTCTTTTGACTATCAACCGCTGTCTCTAGGGATGCCGACTATTACGTGTGAGGTGTGTATCCTTCTAGATCTTTTGGGATACTTTTACGTGTGTGCATCTAACATCGTTTTTGACTGCTTTAACAAGGACTGTTGCACCCTTTGAATTTTAGCATATAATGCTTCAAGTTATTTTTTTTAACAACTGCTGCATCATGTTCCATAGTTTCAGTATACCGTGGTTTAGCCGTTTCCCAAATTGATAGTTTAAGTTTTAACTTTAAAACAGCTTTTTCGCCGGTCGTGGTTCTCTGATGAGATGACATTTCGGTGATAGCACAGATATATGCTAATACCGAGATTCGGCATTTATGATGAAGTTCTCTTTTGGTTAAGAAATTTACATGTGGGAGCAGCCATCCCTCCCGTATAGTAGTTGTGACTGTACCTCTTAGAAGTCGTGTGACCTTGGGGAGGACATTGAATGACACCAAACCTCAGTTTTCTTTTCTGTAAATGGCCTGCTCTATCTACTCCATAGAGTTCAGTGATATGGTGCATATGGTTTGTAGAATGTAAAGTAATATATAAATATTGGTTTTATTAGCCTTTGTGATACAAAAATTATTTGCAATATCGTTTATATTTTTTGACGAGATGTGTGTGTGTCATATCACAGAGCACTAGAGATAGTCAACTTTGAATGCTTTTTAATTTGTGATTTTTTAAATTAATTTTTATCAAGTATTGACAATACGTTAGGCTTCGTAAACAATATTTTGCAAAGCATTTTTTCCTAGAGCTTTCTTTTCTTCCTCTTCTTCTTCTTTAAAAAAAAAAAGAGAGGGAGCGAGAGAGCGAGATAAGGTCTCTTTCTGTTGCCCAGGCTGGACTGTAGTGGCATGATTCTAGCCTCCCCAGTAGTTAGGAATGACTACAACCATGTGTTACCACACCTGGCTGATTTATTTTATTTTATTTTTGTAAAGACAGGGTCTTACTATCTTGCTCCAACTGGTCTCAAACCCTGGCCTCAAGCAGTCCTCCCAAAGTGTTGGGATTACAAGTGTGAGCCACTGTGCCCAGCCCCTAGTGCTTTCACACCTTAAAAAATAAGGCATATAAATTAGTTGACTGTGAATAAACATATTAGCAAACTGAACACCAGACAATACTCTCACTATAATATTTAATCTTACTTCCTTAAAGTTGTAAGTTGTACATGTATTTTTCTGTGGCAGCAGCAGATTCAGATTAGTTTTTACGTCCTTCAAGGAAAAGGGATTGTTACTAAATTTGCAGGCTGTATCAGAGTTTTAATATTGAGATTTAATATTTTAATCATTTAAATAATGATTGAATGATGTGATGGGTAACATTTTAAGATGTACGAGATACGATTAGGGGCTTTGTATGTATTTTTCTTTCTTTCAGATGTATATGAGTGCCTGCAGTGTGGCCAACAAAATCAACTTGTTCTTTTTCTCTTGAAGCTTATGATCTGTGATGGGGAGGGGATCGGAATTTAAACACAATCACAACTACACATATGATCACAAACTGTGGTATCTGCTGTGGAAGTTAAGCAGCACCTGCTATGAGGAATTATAAAAAAGGGGAGACCAAATTTTAGAGTGGAGAAAAGGGGCCTAGGAAAGGCTTTTCTGTATAAATAAGATTTAAGCTGAGATTTGAAGAGTGCGTAGGTGTTAGTGTGGAGGGAAGTGGGGGATAATTTTCCAGACAGAGGAACAGCATGTGGGAAGGCCTCAAAGCGGGGAAAAAGCTTTGCCCATTCCAGGAATTGAAAGAATGAATGTGGATAGACTATGGAGGTGAAGGGGAAGAGTGGCAGGCCAGGGGCCAGATCAAGTAGGGTCTTGTAGGGCAGGTTAAAGTGGTTGTGTTTTATCCCGAGTGAAGTGGGAAACCATGATACGGGTTGGGTTTTACAAAGAGGAGTGACATAATCAGATTTGTATCTTTAAACAGCCACTCTAGTCGCTGCATGCAAGATGTGGGGGTGTGTTGGGGCTGGAGAGTAGAAGTGGGGAGACCAAGTAGGCCATCTCAGAGGGCTGTCTGGAAGAGATGTGAGCTTTCCCTTGGAATTCACATTGACTTCACGTTACCAGCTACACAAAGGTCAAGTCAGTGTTTGATTAAAAAAAAAAAAAATCCTGGCCAGGCACGGTGGCTCACGCCTGTAATCCAGCACTTTGGGAGGCCAAGGCGAGTGGATCACGAGGTCAGGAGATCGAGACCATCCTGGCTAACACGGTGGAACACCATCTCTACTAAAAATACAAAAAATTAGCCAGGCATGGTGGCAGGTGCCTGTAGTCCCAGCTACTTGGGAGGCTGAGGCAGGAGAATGGCTGAACCCAGGAGGCGGAGCTTGCAATGAGCAGAGATTGGGCCTCTGCACTCCAGCCTGGACGACAGAGCGAGATTCCGTCTTACCAAAAAAAAAAAAAAAAATCCTTGTTTCTAATTTTTTAAAAGTGAGGATTAATAAAAGTAGCAATAAAAAGGTACTTTGTATGCAAAAAGTACACAAAAATGTTAAACTAGTTGTCTACACTAAAAAGTATTGGCAGGTCTATCAAGTGAACCGTCGATTCACATCCTGTAACAACTTGTGTGTTGATCTTCATTATTTTCTTCATCAATTTGTATGAGTTCTTTACATATTGAAAATACTCTTAGCTTATTATTTGCCACAAATATTTTCCACTCTATGGTGTTATGAGAGTAAGAAATAAAGAGCCAGGCGCCTACACGGCACTCAAATCTGGAAGTAGCTGCTACTATTAGAAACAATAGAGAAAATAATAATTAAAAACTAGTGTACTAAACTACATAAAATTTAATTACTCTTTAGGGCACAGTTTGCAGAATGGTTATGATACATCCCCTGTATCATATATTTAGTGGCAAATAACACTGCCATTAAAAATGTTTATGAAGAAAATATATTAAAATGCTTATGATAGTGTTAAGTGGAAGGAAATCAGGATACACAGTTGTATACATGATATAATTAAAACTCCCAAAAAAAAGTCCCAGGAGCCTTCCAGTACAACCTATGAATGGCAAAAATATGTAGAAGAGATAAGGTGGAAATCTGAAGAATTGTGGACTAAATATATGATACGGGGGTGTATCATAACCATTCTGCAAACTGTGCCCGTAAATGTAATTCTACAATATACATATTTTGTGCAGAAAGCTTTTCTCTGTATTTAAAAATATTCTTTTGATGGTTCCTAGACCATCAAGAAATGTAAATAATTTAAAGACTCTTGATACATATGGCCAATGTAACATAAGAGTGTGTCATTTTTACCACATCCTTTTAGGTACTAGATAGTATATATTTTTGTCTAAATTTAGACCTTTAGTGAAATTTGTGAGAAACTGTAACATTTTCATTACAAAAGTAAATGCCCATTGTAAAAAAAAACTGAAGCAATGCAAACACATGTGATATGAAAAACCAGTCTCCCCTAGGCTTTTCCCAAGAAGTAATCAGAATTAAATGCTTTCCATGCCAAGATTACGTGTACTTGTATTACATGTATGTTGGAACATTTGATTTAACGAAGTGTATTATATCTGGGACATGATAACTACATGGCAAATAGACATGAGCACTGTTTTTTTGGTTAAAGCCGTATGAATAAATTTGGAAATTACACTGAAAATGATTGGGACCCATTGAAAACTTGTGAGTAGGGTAAGAACAATCCATTTTGCATTTTAAAAAATTTATATTAGAGTAGATAATGGATTAGAGGGAAGCAAGACTGGAGGCTTTTGTAGAATTCCGGGGAAGATGACGGTGGCCTGAGTTAAGTTGAGACAATGGAGAGGTAGACAGTGGAGAGTTTCCAGAGGTATTTGGAAGAGAGTGGCTAGACCTTTGTGATGGCGGGGAGTCGATGATATCCAGGTTTCCGACTTGGGCAATTGAGGGGAAAGTGGACTCATTTACTGTAGTTGGGAATTGGCTATGGTTTAAATATTTGTTCCCTCCAAAACTCATGTTGAAACTTAATCCCCAATGTGACAGTGTTGAGAGGTGGGGTCTTTCAGAGGTTTGGCTCATAAGGGCAGAGCCATTCATAGATTAATGAGTTGTCATGGGAGGGTACCTAGAGGCTTTATAAAAAGAAGAGAGACCTGAGACAACATGTTAACATGCTCAGCCCCTTCTCATCGTGTGATGCCCTGTGCTGGCTCAGGGCTCTTTGGAGAGTCCCCACCAGCAGGAGGGCTGTCACCAGATGTGGCCCCTTGACCTGGGCTTTCTCAGCCTCCATAACTGTAAGAGATAAATTTCTTTATAAATTATCCATTTTCATGTATTCTCTTGAAAGCAGTAGAAAACAGATTAAGATAGGAATGTAGTAGGCTTTGGTGAGGAAGTGACTGATTCAGTTT